CACCCTTTTGGGTGCTCGGACCCTAATAATAATAATCACAAGGGTTTCAATAGGGTCCTTGCACCGTTAGTGCTCGGACCCTAATAAACCTGTAAAATCAGGTTGAATGAACTAGTCACATAGACAATGGCTACAGAGAGCCGTTGTCCACATTTTACATTTAAACAGTGAATTTTTTTATTTAACAGTCATAACTTACAGCCTCAATCCCTGAAGCCATTTTTGACTGGAGTCAGGACAAAGACTATCTGTGAAGCTGCTCCTAGTTACCGTGAGATAAACGATAAGCCTGCGGGGGCTGAAATCTGTACTCAACTTTGTGTTGCTTTGAATTGTTCAGATTAGTATGAATAAAAATCACTATAACTTAATTGAACAAAGATGAACAGCAATTTTCACAATGTGAATTGTGAAAACACAATGTCTGCTTTTGCAAACTACACAAAGTTTTACCTCTTTAACCATGCATCCTGGAAAGTCTGCTTACATACTAGTATCTTTCTCATAAACTCAGTTTAATGAGCTAAGGGAACTCTCAGCTGCTCATTCATTCAACCTATATATTTAAAGTCAAAACATATCAAGTTATGAGAACTCTAAAGTGGTCTGATAATAACAAAAATAGACATTTTAAGTTTAATTAAGCAGAAATTGAAGTGAACTAGAAAATCTAATTTGATTTGATGGAGTATTTGTCGCTATTTGTTTTACAGTGTGTGTATTTGATCAGCACAAAGTCATTCTGCAAAACTTACCTGAATTAAATTTGATAATCACAGCTAGTTACCCGTAAAGTGGCTGACGGCATTCTATGACGTTTTATATGTAAACTGTTTTATTGACATTTGTTTAATCCTCTCTGCATCACTGTACATGTACGTCACAGTCCCCTGTCTCCCGCTTCTGCGAACACAACAACCACACATGATGTGTGCTGACCAACCCAGACAGATGGCACATCGGATATGCCTCGGCCAATGGCATTGTTCATTTGACATAATACCCAAACACTGGCATCCTCTCCAATATCCCCTCCTGCCGTCACTTTATGATCAGATCACTCAAACCCCCTCCTCCATCCCCATGTGTGCTGTCTCCTGTGACGCAAGGAGATCAGTTCATCTCTGCTGGGGCCTGCTTGTGTTCACTTAAGATCAGGGTTTTAAAGGACTGGCTGAGATTGGCAGCTCTCATTTTCTGGAGCACAGATACATCTGCTTTCTTGCTTGTTCAGATGTGTTTATATGATTTGCGGGTGAGGGATTGATGACGCTTTTTGTTGTAATCCTTATCCACTGTGTCAGACACACGACAATATGAATTCTTTAAAGATTCAGTTTCAGTTTTTTCAGAACATGCATAAATCACATGTTTATTTGATCCTATTTTATTTCTCTAATGTTGCATAAAGCAGTGTATTAATTAAATACTGCACTGCATAACAGCTGCTGATCTCATGAGCAGTGATGCTCAAAGATCAGGAGGCAACCCTCTACACATAATGTGTTATTTGTCTTTTTTCTTATCCACAAAAACATAATATTTACCTTTTAGAATGTCCTTTGCTTCAAACGTTCACCATGGTTTTTGAAGCCTGCCTGCTTTCTTTCATTCTACAGCATCAATGCTCTTTGCAACTTTCAACTCTGTAATCCTCTATCAAATAGCCCAGTAATCCTGGCTGCCTCTTACATGGCATAATGCATGATCATTTGGGCTTCTCCTCATATTCCCTCATTTCACTTCAGAGCATTAACAGCTTGTAACATTGAAAAAAATTTTGACCTAAAATTTGGGTTTGGTTCTTTGAGATTCTTTGTGAGTGTACCGACCAGAAAAACGGCAAATTGTGTACCTGCAGATAAAACCATGATTCTGAATGAATGTTTTTTTTTTTTTTTAAATAATAGTTTTCTACCTTGTCAAAACAACCAAACCAAAAAAAAAAAAAACAGTCTTCTCTGCTCGGCATCGCCTTGTGAAACGTGCTAGCTGAGGCTGCAGAAAGTTGTTGTTCTTGTCAGTCCAAACAAAATCAGGGCAGATGGACTTTTGGTTTTTAGCCAGCGATGCAATATTGTGCAAAGATGAACAAGTTGGTCTTTGGATTAGGGAGGGTAATCTGCAAATTTCATGTTTTATGTAACTTTGAAATACTGTGCATGTTTGGCTGATGTCTACACAAATACCCAGTGAGTGGTTTAGTGTAACTTCATAATTAGTGGTGCTGACATTGACAGTAGAGCTGAGGAGAGCAAAAGGCCTCGTATCAGGATAATATATTACATATTTGCAGAACATCTGGTGAGGTTTTACTAAAAACAACAGCATATGTAATATTGTTGTGTAAGTCCATCTCCATACTTCTCATTCTAACTTGCATGCTATGCATGTTCTGCATGCATATTGTCCAGCCGTATTCATACACCATGTTCTTAAATCTGCTGTAATTATTCCAACATAGTGACACGTTCTGCACCAACAACCATTTGTTAATTGTTACACACCTTCTTTGTGTTTCACCTGACGCCTGTAGTCCAAGCAGCTTCCTCTTGGTCTCCAGAAAGGGGCAGTAGAGCACATTTGCAGACTCATTACGGAGGTGTTGGTCTTAAAGTGACATCAGCAAAGCTGTTCTCTTTGTGTTTCCGTGCCTTCAAGGTTGTGGTCTGATGATCTGGACTCAGTAGGTTCTAATCCTGGACAGTTGCAGCTGGTTGTGACAACATATGCCAAATTGTTCCACTGGCAGCCCGAACAGTGACCAAGTTTGAAAGGACAGATGTCATCTAAATGATATGATCAATATTACAAATGCATGTTGATCTAAAATGTAAATTCAGAGGTGGAAGTGGTGGGAGTACTGCACTCAAACTCAGTTTTAAGGTACTTGTGTTTTGCTATTTTTGTTTTTTGCATTGTATGCTAACATTCCCATACATTGTCATTGTTACTGTGTTACATTGTTTTACCTGCTGTACTTTTGAAGTCAAGATTTTTCATTAAAAATGTGCCAATAGCATGTTGTTATAGACAAAAGTATGTACAGCAAATAAGTTGGCTTGACTAACTGCTGCTTTAATACACTCCTTGCACGTTAATGTGTCTGTAATTACAGCTATAGTTTAATAATATGACATTCTTAGGATACTATATACAGTGAAGAGCAAGCCGACTTTTGATATTTTCGTTTGTTGTCAGTTCTTTCACCTAAATAACATTTGGATGCAAGGGTTCTTCTTCAAGGAATATTTTAAGAGTGGAGTGTTTTTCCTGAGTAAAACAATATAAATACTTCTTTTGCCACCCTTGAAATACAAATGGTGCTCCTTTATTTGTAATAAAATCCATACAGGTGTTTTGACAGCATTTTTTCTTTTTTTTTTGACAAAAACATTCACTTAAACATATGTACTGCCACACAGTAAACAAATGAATGCAGTCCCTTTACATCAAAAACACAAACATATTGTGACTGCTGCAAAACAAGGATCTGAACAGCGCTTTACACCTGCATAGTAGGATTAAAGGTTCTCCTAACGTGACCACTTTGGTTCCCGTCCCTCAGGCTGATCTCTTTAGTCAGTTCAAGTGTCATGAAATCTCTTGTAAGGAGCTTGGCTGGATCCCAAATAAACAGTCTAGCTTGTTGAAATCTGAATGACTTCATTCCCGACAAGGGATCTGGGTTGAAGAAGTTTAAGCCACAAAAGTGTCAACACATGTTTTGGAAAGGTGGGAATCATCTGATACAGAATCACACAGAAAACTGAAGTAGAAACAAACGATAAATGGTGGTGAATAAAAAAAAACAACTTGATTTTGAATGATGATACACAGGGCAGGAATCTTTTTTGTATGAAAATGATAACATTGATCTGCAAGGAACTGAGGTTTTTCAGCTTCCACACACACACACATGCACATGCACACGCACACACACACACACACATACACACAAAGCACAATTAATGACAGCGTTCATTTTTGACCGTGGAAACTTCAGTCTAAACAACAATCTCACCTCAAGGTCCATTTACTGGCTGCTCTTGAGCCTTTTTATTGCCTCATGCCATCAAATTCAGAGTGTAACCAGTTGTTGGATATCTGGATGTTCAAAATCCCACTTTGAAAATTTCCATTTTTAAATTCTTTTCCTTTGTCAGTGAAAAGACTTGACTTGTGGATTCCTATGACAGCTGACCCAACAGCTACTCAGTGAACCTTGTGCTGAGATTGTTTTGTCAGCTGTCAAGTAAAATTATTGCTCCTCTTCTGCTCCAGTCTCATCTTGAGCTCTGAAACCAGTGCTTTGTTCACAGTGTCCTGCCTGGTTATCACCGGCTTCTTTTTAGGTTTGGGTGCCACTACTGTTGAGCCTGTAGGTACAACCCACTGCCTCTCCCCCGGGATGTAGGGAGGCGGTGGAGGGGGCAGAGAAGGCGCGCAGGGCGGCGGAGGTGGAGGCCAGTGTCTCACGGCAGTGTTGATGTTGTTGTTGTAGTTGACGTTCTCCACGACTGCCTCCGGCTCCTGCTCCTCCTCTTCAACTCTGAATTTCACTCCAGGAGTTTCCGGTGTTTTGAGGGGGTTTTGAAAGTTCCAGGTGTGCTGTTTCCGCCTTCTCCTTACGCGGCGGTTAGGCAGGATCCGGTTGGACTTTTTGTTGCGCATGAATATTGCAGTGGAGATGATGACTGTGACTACGACCATGAGACTAATGACACCAGCGAGCATGCCTAGGATTTGCAAAGGCTTGTTTCTATTCTGCAATAAAAATGATCCCAAAGGCCCCCCCTTGAGTTGCGTCTGTAAAAGAGCACAGGGAGAATTCACATCCATGGGACTGAAGACACACAAAGATGAACTTTAAATTAAATATTGTCCCGTTTGTATTCTACAGTTCTGTGTGTATTCACCATTTAGTGAAAGATATCATGTGAAATACAAAATACAAAACTCTGTACTGCCATTGTAAGTACAGTTTGTATATAAGCTAAATATTTTCTTTGATTAAATGATTATGGTTTACACTTAATTCACTGATCTACTCTTTTTATATTTTGTCAAGACAAGATCAGAGAGGTTGACTGGGAAACCCATTGCTGAGACCATTCAGCATCTGAGAATGAAATTATAAGTTGATGTCAAACCATGTAAAACCACAAATAATGATTTCATTAAAACTACTAAATTGGAACATGGAGAAAAGAATAGTTTCTATTGTGCTCCTGTACTCTTTTACAGACACAGCCTTCTTCTCCTACAGGATCCTCTGACAGTGAATTGCTACTAGTTCTTGGTACCACAGAGTGAAAACAAAAGTTCTGTTGTGCTGATGATCTCAAGGCAAGCTTCCTTTATGGCACGGGCCTCCTTATAATCTTTCTGATCTTGCCCTGAGATTGTACACGGGACTTTTTTACAGAGCTCCAGTATATAAGAGTCGAAATGACGATTGTCAGTGAAACGGCGAAGGAGACAAGGGTCAAACAAATCCCAAACACTGCCCCAGGACGTTTCCTTAGGCCCAGGAAGTATGTGAAAAATCTGGATTTGATCTGAAAACATGGACAATTGCATTTGTGTGAGATTCAGAGTTTCTATGAGTTTAAAGTTTGAAATGCTACTAAAGCAAACAAATGAGTAAAGGTAGTATTCTGACAGTCAATATGTATTTGTAAAGGAAAGATTTGCTATTTGGATTCTAAAAAACAAAAGGACTTTCTATCCTAAATCACACTCTAAACATTAGTTTTAGAGCTTGCACAGAACAGTACTACTGCACACTGGGAATTTGCTGGAAAAACACAAAGCATATGCCAGTGAGAATATTTTAGAGTTTGTCCTTAACTTGTTGGTAACTTTGAGTCAGAAACCTAAACACTATTTTCTTTTGCACTTATCAAATACAAATAACTACTACAAAAAACATCTGCAAAAACACAAATCTTTTTTTAGAAATAGAGGCAGAATTGTTGAAATTGTAAATGAAGTAAAGGGTTAGCCACACTTTTCCTGTATTTAAGGCATAAAAGTGGAAAAGAATTAGCCAAATTTATTATATTATATCCATATTGTATTCTACTTTACTTGTCATTGATTTGTTATTGATTTCAGCCTTTTTTTGAAAGAAGCACTCGTATAGATTTAGTCATTTTGCTATTAAAATTGTTGCAACTTACAGCTTCAGTGATGTCGATCTTGACGACTGCAGTGGTGCTGAAGGACGGCTGGCCTCGGTCCCGGGCCTGGACCACCAGCGACCAGGTGAAGTCTGTCTGCTTGGTGATGTTCTGAATGATGGCCATGGACTTGATGTAGGACTTGAGCATGATTTCCCCCGTGTCGGCGTTGATGTCAAAGATGTTGTTGTCCGGCTCAGCTTTCATGATGGCGTACTCGATGACATTGTTGGGTACTTCTGCGTCATCGTCTACAGCCTGTGAGGAAGCATCATGTTAAAACTGTAACTGTAAAGACAACATTATGTTCCATTGAGTTTCATTACATAAATGTATTTTAAATGACAGGAGAGTGTGTACCTCTATCTTCACTGGTGCTCCAATCACCATGGTCTTCTCCAGGAAGTTATCATTGAAAGCAGGTGGATGATCATTCAGATCCAGCACAGTCACAAAGACTTCAGCCAGGCTGTACTTTCCCTCTGCGTCCTCCGCCTTCACGTAGAAGTTGTACTTGGACCTCACCTCTGCATCCAGACTCGCCCATGGCTGGGTGTATATGATCCCAGACTCGGGCTGGATCAGGAACCTAAAGAAAAAATCAGTGACGTGTCTTCTTGAAACTGGCTTCAGCTGTACCTCCAATGGAACCATGTTACTCTACAATAGACTTGAACATTTTATTCTGGTTATGATTATTGTGTGTAAACCTTTCTTCTTCCAGTATGCTTACTGATAATGTATACTCTCTGTTTTCTGATATGAGCGCTTCATCAAGACCCCATTTGTAGAGGCATGGATGGAACTTGAAATTTAAACCTTGGCTCTGTCACTTCCTGCTGGGGTTTAAAGCTTTACATTAGCTATATGCAAACTAATATTATCCCTAAACTACTCATCAAGCCTTTGAGAGAGACGATTGTATGTGGAAAGGGTTTGTGCCACTTTATGTGGTGTACTGTTTGTTCTGTGGTTGTTTTCTTGTGTCCCTGCCCAGGGCAACAGATGCAAATTCCAGTGCGATTACTTCTGGTTTTGCACTGTCCCTGCAAAAATAAACAATAAAACAAAGGAAAAAAAAGAAGGTAGCTTTTTAAAACTAGATGCTAGAAGGCCTATTGTTTTGTTACTGTTCAAATGCATGAATGTGTCTCAATTACTTCAAGAGTTGTGACTTTTTAACACATATGTGTATTGTTCTACAAAATTGTTCAACATTTTGTCAAATTTGCTTTTTCTGTGCTTGAGATGATACCACACTTTAACAGAAATAGGGTTCATCTTCTCCCTTCAGCCTTTTGCTGTATAGACAGATTAATGTTTTAACACTAAATACATAATGCAGCCACAGCCAGAAGGAATTTAGTTTAGTTTGGCATAAAGACTTGAATTAATGGAAGCACAGTAAAACTACCCTGGCGATACCTTCAAATTCAAAAAATCATCTACCATCACTTCTAGAACATTCTGACCAACATAATCTAGTCTCATTTGTTTAACCTGCACAACAGCACAAACGTGAAAACAGCCATTTGTAGTGATACGTCACATTCTGGCAAACAGCAGGTGGCTCATTAACCCACAAAGTCGTGTTTTCACAGACGTTGCCAAGCACAGATTGCATACCTGGCACTCCTAACTTCTCTTTAAACTGCAATTTCTCACTGATGATGATGAATAAACAAGATGCAACAAGTTAAACAGTGAGCGTCAGAGGGGCTGCTGGGTAGATCCAGGCTCGCTGGTGTCACTGAGTCCACTCTTGCTAAGCCACAGTAATGGCATCTAGGCTCCAGCTTTGTGCTTTGTATGCATAGACATGACATCTTCTCACTCTCTAAAAAGAAGTGAATGGTGTATTTTTAAACATTCCTTTAAAGTGGCTCTTTACTGTCCCATTCCAGTAACCAGGGGTTCTTTCCAAATGTAAAACTGAACAGCTACCATACAGTCAGTGCCAGAGAGGAATTAGACTGTTTGACTCACTGACTTGTTTAGCTATCCTGCAGTGACTTTGTCTCAGTACAAAGTAGTCAGAAGCAGAGAGCATTCTATTTTCTTCTCCAATCCCATTAGAGGATTAATGCAGACAGAGGACAAGCAGACAAAGATCTGGACTGCATGGCTTCGTGTACGCTTAAGTATTCTCGACATATTGTGAAAAAAGTGTAAAGTCTGAAGTAAAATATGCACAGTTTTTGCATTTGCAGAACTAAGAAATGCTACCATGGCAGTGTAACCATAAAGAATTATCATAATAATATAAATTTCAGAGCATTTTGGAGAACAATCTGAGGTGACACAGTTTCAAAAATGGTTTTGACTAAACAAGTATGCACTAAAGCTAAAGTGTTCCAAATCTCTCTCCTCTGCCTATTTTGGAAATCCGTTCCCTGGATGCCATTTGACATCACATATCTTTTCTAATTCATTGCTACACAGCTCAAAACCTGCAACGAGAGGCCCGAAAATACATTCCACCTACATTTGATTGAGTAAAGTAAGCGGTTACCAGGAAGAGCCTTGCAGGATTAAACACATCCCTAATAGTATACACTGGTCTATAATTTGGCACTAAACATAAACAGTGATTTCCAGGCAGTAACACCTTTTCCAAGAAACGTCACAGCGTCAACATGTGTTTGTGCAGATGATAATTAAGGCAGTGTCTGTAGTGATTGGAAAGGAAACACAAGGTGTTTGCCATGAGAACAGTGTTCTGAGACTTTTTCTTGGAGGTTGGATGTCTTCTGGGAAACTAATAAAAATCGAATTGAGCAAAAAAAATGCCAGCAAATCCTCTGGGTTATAGAGCTTAGGGCCAGTAAGGAGAACCAAGTTCCAATATGAAAAACAAGTCTGCTATCATATTGCTGTCCAGCTTTCAGACAGATGGTTTTTATATACAGGTCTTCTTGCCACACTCATTCAATTTTCAAGAGATAAATGTCTCTTACATGTTTCTTTCAGTTTTACTTATAAAGAGTGGTGTCTGTTCTTCCTACTGCTGAAAAATACCCAGAGTATCAACTGGTGATGTTGTTGAGGGAGTATTTGTGTTGTTTTTCTTTTAATTTCTTTAATGTCACAGGCCTCTTTTGTACAAGTTTACTTTGACACAGCTGCACAAATTTGCACAAATACGAACTAGCAAATAGATACTGTGGATGGCTATAAAAAGGTAATCCAAATAAAGTTTGGTTGGAAACTGAAATACTAAAAACATATATTTTAAATGTCACTGTGTGAATGTGTGGAGGTGTATTCGTTTTGTAGCTGGAACATGATACCTTAAAGCTCAGTTGTACTCTAATACTCACAGGTCAGCCCCTGATCCATAAATAGAATACTTCACTTCCCCCCAAGGTCCTGAGTCTGGGTCTATTGCCTGCAGACAAACAGAAACAACAGATTATAGAGAAGAAAAATATGGTAAATTTGGTAGTAGTGCTTGCATATATTAAGTAATTTCAATGCAACTTTCACTGCAGTCTTGAGGAGTACAACAAATCCCACCATGTACTGCCATTGTTTAGTATTCAAGTCACTCTAATGAGCAATTTTTTGTTGCCTTGTTATTCTTTTCTCTTTTCTTCCCACACTTTAGCACATTGAGGTTATATTTGTTTGCATCTCCTTGCTAAAAGAAATGAGCAGCAAAATGAAATGTCTGCCACAATGGATTCAGCAAACTGAATGAATCAGTGCCGGACTGGAACATGACGCTTCAGGGGTCAGCTAAAAAAAGGCCAGATTTTTGATGTCATAGGAACATCATCGTGGTCGTCAGCTAATCTGTCTGTCTGTAGCTGCTGGGATGCCTGTTTTGCTGTCTCCATGTGTCCAAGGTCACTTGTTGGCTGTTCTTTTATCTGATTGAAATTGCCTGGGATCAAGGCAACGAGCTTGTGTGGTGTTCACGCAAGGGCAGGATTTATTAGTGAGCCTCCCTGTTGCTTTGAGCCTTTCACCGAATCACTCTGCAGGGCTGCTATGAACCGACAAAGGCAAAGGATGAGACGGTCCAGAAATCAATCAATTCAACATGTTGTTAAAAGTGTTCCTTTTTATATCAGCACATATTTTTGTGCTGTGGCTGCATGTGCTACGAAGCATTAGCAGAAAAAAAAAAAAAAAGGTCTGGGAATTTGGTGTTACACAACAAAATGAAAGTGATAGCCATCTGGCAGCTTACCTCGCCTAGCTTTTATCTACATGTTTTCACATATTATCCCAACCCCCACTGCCCAAAAAGTCTACATTTAGGGAATTAATGGTCCTCTTGGGCTTTTTGTTAAAATCAGCATTCCTCTTTAGCTCAGAGTGACGTACACTGGTGATGGCATGTATTTTTAGCCGAGATCAGGACTCGCTCACCGTCACTGACACCACATTGGAGCCACCGGGTGAGTTTTCTGGAATTCTGGCGATGTAGTAGTCTGAGGAGAATTTGGGAGCGTTGTCGTTGGTGTCCAGGAGATGAATGACGATGTCTGCTGTGGCGCTGAACCTCTCAGGGGTGTCGATCTCAACTGCAAGAAGCTGAAGAAAAGAACAATTACAGATAAACAAATAAAGGGAAAATTTCAACAGATGCAGGCAATTATTTTTGTGCCATTTCTTGAGAAATATCAGATTTTAATCCCAATTCAATATTCTTTGGTGTGTAATGAGCTGACCTTGTATGTCAGAAAATGATGCTTCTCATAGTCCATGGCAGCAGAGTCTTCCACTAAGATTGTGACTTGGGCCTCATTGAGAACAGTCTGAGGGACGACTCGCAGCATTCTTCCTGGTCCGATCAGTCTCAGATTGAATTTAGCATTTGCACCCTGCAAGATGATCATATTATTAAAAATTCAAGCGAGTTGTTTTATATATGCTCAAACCTATTTATAGTAGCCTGCATCTGTTACACAGCTAGCTCAAAGAAGCAAACATAAAGCATAATCCATGTCGTATATAGCTTACCCAATCAATTTAAAAGCTCTGTGTCCTTTCATTATTACAGTAATGTAAGAGAAATCAATAAGGTATCAGTAGCAGGAATAATATTCTGGCTGAAACATAACATTAGTGGACACAAACAGTCGGCCTGATGTTGTAACAGCATTATCGGAGAATACATGTGGCGAACATCAGCCATGTGGACATGACTAGTAGAGCACAAGGAGGTGGAAACACAGAGACACTTGCATAATCTGACAAATGGTGTAGTTAGGGAGCAACTTTTAATTAGTGTTGGCTCAGCTTCAATATCATGCAATTTTAAAAGGATTGCCAGTGATAATGGCAGGCTTAAAGTCATTCCACAGGCAAAAAGGCGCACAGTACGAAGATGTGGTATGATGGATGCACATTTAAATCGCTTTCCTATTAGATAACAGTGTAATTTGGTCAGAAAATGAGTGTTATTACATAATAATGGCCACTATTAGTCCTGGCCAGATAAAGCAGCAGTGATTTATGCTGCTAAAAGATGACACCTGCTCAGTAAAATATCCTAAATCTGAGCTTTCTGTTATTTTTAGTCATTTTCAAGCTAAGTATAGACAAAATACGGACGACAGCAACGGTCCCCACCTGATCAGAGTCATTGACAGTGATTTTCAGCCCTCGCAGTATTTCTCCCTCCGGCGGATGCTCGTACATGGTCAACTCAAACACGTTCTGTAGGCCGTTCTCTCCGTAGAAAGTAGGTGGGTTATTGTTTAGGTCGACCACACGGATCACCACCGTGGTCACGCTATAGTCCATGAGTCTGCCTTCAGGACTTACTTCTGAAGCCTGGACACAGGGAGTAGAAATGGTGAAAGTCAGCTTATACTGTATGTATCAATCATATAATCAGTAAACATGGGCCTTAGTGCTATTTTGTGTCACAAGATCATTTGTACTCCATGAATTTTCACTTCAGAGCAATTTTACATCAAAGCAATGTCAATTGAGAGGCTACAAAGTGTTTTCCTATTTTCAGCACAGGTTCTTTGGCCCACAGTTTATTTAGGAATATACTCTAAATATGGCAAAAGTCTGTAAAATGTAATTACTGTACAACCATCGACACAGAAAAGAAAAAGCAGCCACATTTTTTCATCATTTAAAAGTTGTTGACAGAGAAATTCAGCCAGTAGGACTTTTAAACTAATGCTGAGTAGAATATAAGTCTGATCCTAACTTACAGTAAAACAACAGCAATGATCTGCAGCTTACCCTGACTTTAATGTTAAAGATTTCTCTCTTCAGATGAATGGGCAGAGTCAGCAGGGTGATTAATCCACTTGTTCTGTTGATGCTAAAAACACCATCATCTCCTGGTGAGACAGACAGCAGAAAACAGACAGATGAGCACTCACATCACTGACACCAACATCTGTTAAGTCTGTTTTTTGTTATTTCTAAATTATTCTTTTTTTTTTGGAGAGTTGAATGAATACCATCATCGAATGAGTAACGGATTGGATTCGGGTTTCCCACGTCACCGTCTTTGGCAAAAACACTGAATATTTCAGATCCCTGGGAAAAGACAAGCAGAATAATTTGTGTTTTATGAGTACTGGAAATCAGCAGTGAAATCACAGTGATAACTAGTTATAGATGTCAAAGGACGCACACATGAACCTTTGGATTGCAAATATTAGTTACTATAGGTCATATTTTTTTAAAATTACAAGTAACACAAACTATATCTTCATGTGACTCAGTGTTTGGTTGCATCATTTTGTCAAAAAACTGGATGACATAGGTTAACATCTACAACAACACAAACAAGGATGAGATTTGAACCTGGCTGGTGCACAGCTAATCACAACAAACCACAGAAATCTATCCTTCACCTGCTCTTCAAAGGTGCATTAAAATGTCATGCTTCTAATTATTCCCGTGAGGATGAAAGTGAGACTGTGTAATCTCTCTGCGACAAGCTACCTCTGTGGCATTTTGTGATCACGATAAAGCCATGATGACGGCAGGAGGGGCATTACTGTGAAATGCCAGAAACGAAAGCCATGTGATGTGTGATATTGGCGGCCTGGGTTTTGGGCTTGTGTGTTGTGTATTATTTTTTGGAGCAAAAGTAAAAATGTAGTTTGAGTTGTAATACAAGAGAAGTGACTGTAACAGAAACTGATAGGAAAGTAGCTGTGATGTGAGTGAGTTGTATCATTGAGCACAGAGTCACTGAGAGACGTGTTTGTACTCACTGGCACTGAGACTTCATAAACGTAGGCGAAGTAGGGCGTCCCAACGAAGGATGGCGGCGTGTCTTGTGCGTCAATCACATTGATTGTCAGGGTAGCAGAGGACGATAGAAACTGTTCCTTCCCGTTAAAGTTACCGCCACCGTCCTGGAACAGAAGTAATGTACAGTTAAATCTACTATTTTAAAAATGTTTGAACAATTAGTTTAGCAATTTGGTTTTATATAATTATCTATATTTATGTTTTATATTATTAATAAACTTAATAATATATGCTAAAGTACAATTTTTGTTTGATAATTTTGTGTTTTCTCTCTCTCTATGCCTCTTTTTTTTTTTAAAGGTTGTTTAATTGCTTTCTAACGAGTACACCACAATAAAATCATCCCCCAGAAAACTATTCTTTAAACTGCACTATGTGTACAAGCTAACCTCACCAATCAAAAACTCTATTGAGCGTGGCTACCTTGAAAATAAAAGTACATTCATGCACCACAGTAACCCGTCACACACCCAGTACCTTTGCAATGACAGTGACAAAGTGTGTCTTTGTTTTCTCATAGTCCAGCATTTCTCCAGACTTGATACGAAGGACACCGCTATGTCTGTCAACGGCGAACAAAGTGGACTGTGGATTCTGTAACACAGAGCAGAACAAAGGCACGATTTTAAAAGCACCACAGTGAGACACGAATAAGGTCACACAAGTAAAAGCCTGCCACTGAAACCCCTAAACCCCTTCAACAGACACTTACATGAGATATCATGGAAAGTGGTCAGATGGCTGCATTAAAAACACTCAGTAGCCACTTGAATTAGGCCACATTCTCTGTATACAGAGTCCATCTGGATGTAAAGAACCCATATGCTCAAGGACATAGCAGGCAGGTGAAAGCTGCTGGGTCCAGATGTGAACCGCCTCACTGTCAATTCCAGGCCAGCTGTTCTTTGGTCCTAATAGTCCAAAGTGCAAACTAACATTCCCTGCCACCCCCTGCCAAAGCAGCCCTCTAAGCCTCCAATACCTGACACAAATGTAATTGTGATTTAATCTCCATCATCGTAACTACACCAGGCACATGCACAAACACACACGCACTTTAGAAATTCTAGAAATCAGTACGTATACATGCTATTTGTTTCACATACAGATTAGCATTACAAGTGGCCAGTTTCAGTGAGCATTTAACATTTAAAAATGCTCTATCTGTGCTTGTTTATGTATTGTATTCATGTATTGCTGATAGGACAGTATTTCAAGCTGCCAAGTGATACCTGGAGGAAGTAGGTGACTGAGCCTCCTGAGCCTGTATCTCTGTCCACTGCCTCGACTTTATAGATGCTGCTTCCAGATTCAGTCGTCTAAAATGCGCAACAAGGAAAATAATTCAGGAAACAACGTGAAGGGCTTAAAAAGACACAATACAACACACACAGCACTTAGATTTTCATTCAAAACTGAAAGGTTTATAAAGCACTAAAACACATCTGGCTTAACTTACTTCCAGCACATCAAGGATTGCAGGCATGTTTTGGAATTCAGGCTTTTCATCGTTTGCATCCATTACAAATATGGTGACTCTTTCCACAACCTATAAAGAAGAATGAAAAGATTAAAACCACATATTCAAGGTTACAATGATGTGATCATGCATCGAACTTAAAGGTGATACCTTGCTTTGCCCGTCTGTGATGCTGACAAGAACATCAATAGAATCTTGTTTCTAAGCAAAATAGAGAACCAGGTTAATAAGAAGACATCCACCTTAACTTATTGACGATTCTAAGTTGTCATAAACAGCTGCGTTAATGTCCCCTGATGATTCATTAACATTACCTCTCTGTCAAGCTTTTCCACTAACGTGATGTTTCCAGATTCGGGGTCAACCCTGAAGTACTCTTTGGAACCTGGATCGAAGGAGAGGCCGTATCTCACCTTCTGGCCTTCAGGGTCTGTGCCGTTGAGAGAATAGATCTGTGTACCTAAAGGGAGGCATCGCAATTTAGTCAAACTAGGCTCAGCTGCTGACCGGACAATATATCATTTACAGACAAATATTAGTATGAAAAGCTCACGTATTCTAGCCATTCACTATAACCAGTCATTTTTTTAAACAACCGCTGTGGAACAAACCAGTTCAATGTATATCCCGATTGATGCAAGGTGTAGAGGGACAGCTGCACCACTTTCACAGCCAGCACACTGTCCTACATTTCAACAGGTGGCACCAAGCAGATGGGCATGTTAGTGTGAGTACGTACATGCCACACAACATCTGCTCATCTATCAAAGACTATTTAACATGCTGGACTCTGATATTGGCAACCAAAACACACCATTTTGCTGATTGGTTCCACAGACTGTTAGCTGTTCACACTGAACGTCCTGCGGGTCAGAGGTCTAGCTCACCAACAGGTGTGTCCTCTGAGAGGCTGAACAGGGCCAGGTTCCCATTGTGGCTGTAGGGTCCATTGTCATAGAAATAGGGGGCAAAATCTGCTTGTGCTGAGGAAAGAGATGTAAATCACACCCGTAAGTTTGTGTTTGAACATCACAGTTTTATGTAATTCATCTTTAAACAAAACTGTGTGACGGAAACAATAGAAAACACAGCTTTTATTTTATAAACTCAACTGATGAAGGATAAAGCATACGCCTGATCAGTGACTGAATCAGTTTGCTGACTTTAACAACTCCTCTTTGCGATGGTTTCATTACCATTAACTATTACTGGATCATTTCCACTTCTGGGAAAAGTGGTCACTCTTCATTAAAGGTACAGTCTCACCACTAGAATGCACCACTATGCGCTTACGCCCCCTGCTTTCTGTCTCACTGGGATTAAAGGTGTGTTACGTCAACCTCCTAAGATACTTTCACTATACATAGACTTGAGATCTACGCTGTGTTTGTAATATCACAGTCATTTTAGTACTGTTTTAGCTACAACTGCTTATTACCTTAAAAAAAAACACAGTCATAAAAAAAAGCATGAGTCATATGTAAAAAAAAAAACAAAAAAAAAACCAGCTTATATATATACATATGTGTGTGTGTGTGTGTGTGTGTATCTGCAACTATGCCAGAAACAAATGAAGCAAAACAGAATGAAATTCAACTCTAAACTGAGAAAGATTGAAAATATTCAACCCACAGGTCCCCAGTGTGCCTAACCATCATTCTTAATCTGATCACAGCAACATAAGCCAACTTTAAGCGAGGAATTAATAAGAGAAACTTACCAAAGCAGGCATGCACAAACAGAAAAAGAAGCGGCAAATGTAAGATCTTTACATTCTTCATCCTAAAGAATGAAGTGGTGAAAGCGCACCATGAAGACGGCTCCGTCGAGAGTCCTCGACATGAGATGCAGCTCTCAAAGGTGTGTGCAGGCGACTGGAAGAAGGCTAAAGGCAGATGCTCACATGCTAATCCAATGACACATCTTAAGAGCTACTGCGGGGCCTCCTCAGTCCAGCTGGGCTTCAACAGCCTCCAATCCACGGGAGATGGTTGTGTCTGCAAAAACACAGGGATGCAATTGGATAGACCAATATACATTTGATTTTTGATACTATATTAATATCCTTATTCACAAATGTCAGGTTCGTGCTGTTCTGTAGTCTGACACAAATATTTTATTTGCACTGTGTGTTACATTGAAAGCTGTTGCACTGAATCTCTTGCTACCTTTTCTAAATGTCTATAACTTATTGTTTTTGAGTAACTGCAATCTCAGATGTCGTATTTTTTGTTTTTGTATTAAAAGACAAGCAGTACTGATCTACCAGGAAGTGTGATCCTTCTGTATTAAACAGAATGAAGTATTAAATGCAGCTTCTGCCCTTTAAATTATGACCATTCTGCATAAAGTGCTGTGGCCAACTCTACTCTTGACAGAGTAGAAGGATGATGTAGAATCTATATGATAATACTGGCTGCTGGGTCACCCATGTTGTACACCATCTGCTATGCACCCAATGACCATCTGTTGCATTAGGAAAAAGAAAAAAAAACACTATTTACTCAATTAATTGAATAATCACACGGGATGACCAGGCAGTGATCTCATGTGATTATAGTTTCTTTATGGATATGATGGTAGAAGGTATGAAATAAATGTAGGAACTTATATAAACTGATTGATGTGAATGTAAATAAATATATATTTTTGCACATAAGAAGTCATGGGTTTTGTTTCACATTGAAGTATTGTTTTTATTCACGTCTCTCCTTTGTTCCGTATGGTGTGTTGAGTCTCTTAATTAAAAAGCCCACTAATTACCCTAATGTCTTTCTGGGACTTTTTGAATAGTATTTTAGTCACTGAAGCTGCCTAATCTTCTTGTTTGATAATCTGATTTGCTACCAAGAAGTGAACTCTTGTAAACAAATGTTATATAATCCCGACTAAGTGGTCCTCCCTTTAACAAGGATCACCTTTCTACAAACACTAACCTATAAAAGACTGACTGCATGTCTTTACTCATGACATTACAATGCAATTCAACTGACCTATTCCCACGACTTAATTATAAATATCTAAACTGCTGGTTGACATAATAATATTAGTAACTGCATCAACTTGACGTTTAGCTTAATTTAAACACAAATAGATGTTTTAGTTGATTTAAAATGATAAATTCCAGTTAAATTAACTTAATGAAATTGACTTGATAACTAGATGTTTCTTTATATTGATTCAAATTTTCAATTCTCTTTCCCTATCTTAACGTTCATGGACAATTTCAAACAATTAAGACAATTAATCTTAATTAATTGGATCTTTAATTGTAGAGTTAATTCCCCGAACATAATGTAGTTTGTTGGTTGAATATAATTTATTAGGAGTTGAAGAGATTGATGCAAACTGTTTTTTTTGTTGTTGTTTTTATTAGAAGCAAACATTATTATTTAGATCATACCAAACAGTGAGTCAGTACAACTGAAAATGCCTCAACAGACCCAAGAATCGTGTTTTTTTTTTAAATATCTTCTCTTTCTTTTAAAACATACACTTATTTGATACAAAGTGACCTGTTCCTGAAGAAAATACGAGACAAAAGCACTTTGGCATTCTGTTCTTAAACTTCTGGGACTTACAACGTATATATTTATATATAGATATATATATTCAGATGAGCAATTTTCCTATTACCATGAAAAAAAACAACAACAAAAAAGCCTCATCACGATTACAACAAAAACTATTGTGTGCACCATTAAAACACTTTGCATGCCAGAGGATTTAAACACATGAATAAACCTTTTTAACATCCATTCTCATGCTGGTATTAAATCTACTTTATAATCTGGCTGGTACTCATAGAACATACAGTAGCTAGCATGTTCTCAGTGTCTGCTTAGTGCACGACGTGTACGCGTAAAAGAGCGACACGTGCTAAACGAAAACCAACAACGTCATTTGTAGGAACATCAGTGCGTCGATTTAAAATCTCTGGCAGCCGTCAAATTCCCATCATACGTATGTAGAGTTAAACAGTTCAGATTGGAAACCTGTGTCCAGTATTCAAAGGCACCGTGAGCATTTTTGTGCCATTTGAAGCAGAAACAGCATTACTTTTACACAATAGCTGTGCAATACATTCCCTGGAAAAGATCACCTGTCACGTTACTGCTGTATGTTGTTGGTTAAGGCCGTGACTTCAGGTTTAATTCTCATGGTGCTGGCAGATGGCAGGCCCAAAGATTAACCCACTGTACTCTAATCTCCCCTCATCTTGTAATGCACAGAGCCTGTCTGTTGTAAAATAGACTCCATCAAACAGAAATGTAAAGCACAATTAGCACACACAATGTAGCCACAGACATGTGGACATGCTGCACACAGCGTGCAACATTATGAGAGTTCACAAACAGATGATCTTCCTATTTCTCATCCAGTGACCGCGACCTTTGTTTTAAAATGTTTAAACCTTCAGATGTGTGTCAGTGCATACATTCTACAGCAAAATCCTGTAAACTGAAGCTTATATGTGTGAGTGTCTTTCAAATGATCTCTGCAGAAAATCATACGGATAAAAGCTCACTGCTCATCTGTAGTCATCTTCTTAGTTTCTAATCCCGTGCCTTCAATCACTGTGGCACATGCTGACCTCTTTGTTCCTGTTGCTGACAGAGCCATTAGGCTGCCCATGGGGAAATTTTAGGGTGATGCTTATCATTTCAGCGTATGGCTGCATGTGCGTCACTTGCTTTGGATTATTGTCAATGAAGGCTAAACCTGTGCCAAAACAGGCTCAGTGGATCCTGAAGTATTTGTGCTAACCATCATACACTAACACATAGAGCGCCATTACAAGATGGGCCGCTTCAGTCATGGTACTTTAAAATACATATTAATGAAGGGTTTGGCATCAACATAAAAAATAATAAATTACAAGAAATAAAAAGCAGAAAAAGATGAAAAAGAATACAAAATAATAGGTTTATCCCTCTGTTGTATAATAAAACAATCATAAGAAAAGCAAAAGGCATTTTCTTTCACGTCATATAAACCAGCTCAACTGTGCAGCTCAGCAGCTGATTCTTATCAACGTTATGTCTCAACATGAGTGTATATATATCTTGATTTAGTTTGTATTTGTATTCATTTAGCTTGCCATGCATGCTTAGTTACCCAAGGTAGGAGGTGAAACATGCTATAAAAATAAAGTTGCAATATTCAGTCTTGAGTTTAAGAAATATTGTGATTTACATTTTTAAAAGGGAAAAAATGCAGTGGGTAGGATGTAGGACCTTATTCAAGCCTTCCAGTGGGTGACTTAGAAAAAAAAATCCCCTTTTTATGGGTGAGTCTATGATACAAATCGTCAGCTAATCTATAATAATAACATGACAACTGAAGCATTTCAATATAATTTGGGTTGAATTACATGTTATGTTTATATGAGAAAATATTTTTTTCCAGCAACTTTTGGGTTTGCTGTGTATGTTTGTATTACATAGCTGAAATGAAGAGCACGTTTTTGGCCGTTTGACAGGAGGCGATGTTGACAGAAGAGCTGCAAGTAGAATTAGTTTGGCTCTTGTCCTGTACATGTCTCTGAAACGTGAGGGTCCATAAAAATGTCAAATGAACATGTAGACTACCAAACAGCAGTTTATCACTAAGACATGAAGAACATTTAGGATTACAAGAATCTCAAGTACACCAAAAAATACACAAATCTTACATATGCAATCATTTATTCATTCGTGACAGACGGCAATTTTGCGATAATTGAACAATACAATGTCTCGAGCAGTTTGAAAGTGAACTGGTGAATTATCGGTTGAAAAGTTTCAGGAAAGGTAAAAACAAAAAAACAGCCTTTGTAAATGTTCCACCCTCCTGCTTTAAAAATACATTGACAGTGCAAGTCCGGTATTTACCTGGAAAAATGAGATTTACCCAAAATAGAAATGGAAACTTTGAATAATTTGCGCAGTACTTGTGTCACTACAGGATCACTCGGTCTGTTCGAGCACCTGTTGTCAAGATACCCAATTCAGCTTTCCCATTTTGGATTATTATTGATAATCTCCAGTGTGGTTTGCCAAGGGCAGAGGTTCGCTTTTAGTCCTGGTCCACTCTAAAACTAGGTTACGCCTTTAATCTCTCCATGTAGAGTAGCAGCCTTTCATTTTCATAAACCTCACAGAGTGCCACAGCAGAGTGAACACACATGAAAAATCCTGAAAGATGTCACACGCTGCTTCTGCCGGAATCATCACTGACTGAAATGATCATTAGCGGCTGTCCACCGAGGAGTTAAGGTAATCTGGAAATCTGTTGTTCCAGTGTGATGGGAGCTAATAAGATTTCAACAAAACCCTGAGGCCTCACGAGTGCTGTCGCTGGAACCTCAACTTACACCACTCCATAAGCATACATTAACTGGGTAAATTGAATAACCCTTTAGTGGAAACAAATGAGCTAAATTCTAATGTTGCAGAAGCTATAACACATAAATAATTCACTTGGTATTGAGCATGAGATCTTTCACTTAAATCAGAATCAAAAAAGAGAAAAATCTTTGAGAAAATAAAGCGAATCAAATATTTCTGTTGGTCAGTTTGACGTGATGTGGATCATATTAGAGCCCAAACTAAGCCTGATGCTCATGTCCTCTACATTCTTTTATTTTGCTGCCCCCAAGTGGTAAAAAGCTGGTGGTGGACAATAAACGTAAAACAAACATTATCATTACATGACCAGTAGCATTCATCAAACACACACATACAAAGTATTTCTACAACTTATGTATGATTACAGTGTACAACAGAAGTAACTCCAGTATCAGTTAATGTCAACTAACTGAAAATAGTGTCACCTTACATTACCTGCATTATTTCTAAGCTGAATGGTAGAATCTTTGCTCTTGTGTAAAATTATAAACTAACACTTAAGACGTACCGTGTTAAAAACAAAGGCCCCACAGTCGGAACTCAATGCAACAAAGTCAGTACACCTTTTATAACAGAGATTCATATCTTTTACCTTTTTTTTAATACTCTGTATGTCCACATTTATGTTTGACAACAGACTCAGTCTTTCTCAACATTGAGGAAACTAAATTTCTAAAGAAATCCTTCAGGATCTTTTTTTAGCTCATCATTGCAGGAGGGGTGTCAAAGCCAATAACGAAAAAATGGCAGATAACCTAATAACGGCCAATAACGTAATAAAAGTCCTGAACTGATAATGTAATAACTTTTGTAATATACGTTTCTGGCCAAAAGTTATTGCGTTATTGGCTGATTATTATTTGAAAAGAATTTTTTATTTTTTATTTTTTACCAGGCCAATAACGTAATAGCGTGTTACGTTATTGGCCAAAAGATATTACATTATCAGTTCAGGACTTTCATTATGTTATTGGCCAGTTATTACGCTATTGGACTATTACATTTTAAAAAGTTGTTGCCGTTGTTAAGTTATCGGCTGTTATTACATTATTGGCTTCTACAAGTGGTTGTGTTGCTCTATCTTTCTCTTTAAAACACCCCAGATGTGTTGTATGTGATTTAAGTCAGTTATATTGCACACGGCTCTACTCACGTCTGCCATACACTGTAAGTCTTTTAGACTTGTTTCACATCAGATATTTGTTAATAATAACATTAGTAATGTTTCCCAACATACCTTTAAAAGTGTGACAGACCTGTGTCACTTTGCACTCTATTGGATACCTGACAATAAAAAAAATAAATCAAATCCAGCTACTTCCTGTTGTATTCTATACAAGTCCTTTTGTGACATGTCTTTGGAAGAAGCCTTTCAGGACTGATGTATCTATAGGATATGGTAAAGGATCTGGAACAAATTAGAGAATCACAGCTATGCTCCGGCGCAACACAAGGGTGGAGCAAAAACACATCACACACTTCTGTAGCAGTTGCTGTTCTCAACGAGCAGGGAACAAAGTTCACACGGTTCATTTAGAGCAGGCCATCGAGACGAGAGGAGGTGACTGCGACCCCATCTACAAAGTCTCACCCTAATGGGACGGCATTGTGTCGACTCGTCTCACGCTGCAACACCCAAAGCAAAGACTGTACACTGTGTTCACTTTGCTTAATTTATTTTTCTCTCTTGACTGTAATCAGTTTTTGTGGTTTCCCATTTTAAAAGGGGAGCAGGGTTGCAGCGAGGGACAGTTTAAAGATAACTTCTTTCATTTCACTCTTGTCATTGTTCGGGCTGTTTGTGTGATTAATGTTGTGATGTATGTTGTGTTCTGTGAATGTTTGTCTTACCACTAAAAACTATGTTATGTTAAAGAATGTTTCATGTGTTTTTAAGTTATCTATGAGTTAAAGTATTCTCAATATATTTGTGCTTTTGATTCTGTGGCCATCATATAAGTAAATATTAAATGTTTGAAATAAAGTTCACTTATTTATAAACCTTTATGTCATTGAAAAGAGACAGAATATTGAGTGAACCCATCCTCATGTAATAAAGCAGCAACCAATCATGTAACCACAGTACATGTGAAGGGAGAGCAGATAGTGAGGACCTCATTTCAAACATTTTATTGATTTAATGATGATAAATGTGAGGAGTACTGAGTTTGTTATTCCAAAGAAAGAAGAACATTGATATTAAATTGACTGCTTCATCTTGTTACAGCTACATGGTCCTGTGTTTGAATCTCCTGGTCTGCTTGGACATTTCTGTGTGGAGTTTCTATGTGCCTGAATGATGTGAAGAGTTCATTTGCAAAAACAGATGACTCCATTTCTGTAGATTTTCAGAAAACTTTTTTCCCCGTTGTTTGCTTGAGATAATATCAGTCAAACTGAAGTTGAGTGGATTTGACTCAGTAGAAATGACATGACACACAACAGAGATAACTTAAGTTTGATTGATATTGTCTCAGGTAGATGATGGAAAAGTGGGTTTTCTGAAGGTTTGTGACGATGGAGTTACCTGTTTTTGCAAGTGAACTCTTCGTGTACAGGATGTACCGTGCCCTGTGCAACCAGTCAGCTAGGATAGCCCCCTGCAACCCTCCAAATGGATGGATGGATGACTTTAAAAGCAAATGTTTAAGCAAAAAAAAACCCAACAACAACAAAAAGGCAACATTGTGCATCAGTCTTTTTAAGTTAAGAGAGCTTCTAATGAAATTATGTTCAATCAGTGAACTACGCTGAGTAAGTGGAATAAGTCTTTCCTCTGAAATCCTGAACTCACATTGAAGAAAAAGTTATTAGGCCAGTTTGAATAATTTACTAGCGCTGGAATTTAGTTTTAAATCAATGAATGCAGAAATTTTAGTTGTAAATACACATCATATTAAGTTGATCTAATTACTAGCATTGTTGTGCCAACATCAAAACAATGTTTGAAACTTAGACGTTGTGTAAAAATCAATAAATTTGCAGCCATGCATTTAACTAAGTGGCAGCAACATGTCCCCTGAATTACTTTATAGAGTTTAACTTGAATAAATTCAAATTAATGAACTGGTTAATATTGATTATTAGAACTCAACAAGTATAACTGATATGTAGAATATGTTTTATTGGTACTATTTACACATCTAGAAGTGTCTTGCTTTCACATCAACTCAATAGTTTTGTTTAGGTTATACCAAATTTCTTATTGTTTTCTATTTGAATCTAAGTATATAAAATAGATTAGTAGTATTGCTTGTAATCTGGTGTCTTATTTTCATAAGTAAAGAGGGTGTATCTTTATTCAAATCAATTATAAAAATAAAAAAAAGTACATGTGATTTTTTTTTGGTTCAAATTCATGTGTAATTCTCCACAAAAGTTTCATGTAAAACAGTAAAACAACGTTTATGTGTGATCTTAGAAAAACCAGAGGCTCATGTTGTACTATCACATCAACATCTACTTGCTTTGATTCCCTCAGTTTAGTAACATCAGTATCATTTAAAGGTTAGCAACTATCATCCAAGAAAAGATTTGAAATTAACTAAATTCCACATGATGCAGTGATCAGGAGGGCTGTGGATGGATGAGTGGGGGTGGAGGGTGGAGTGATTCTTACCCTGATTTACTAAAGCTGGAGGAAATCATCGCTACAGCATGCAATTAGAAAAGGATGTTGACTATAAAGAGGAGCGGAGGAGGCATGTCCTCCAACATGAGGCTTCTCTCTCCAAAAAATTGCAGCGTTTGGGACCACGTGACCTCGCCAACACAGGATGTCCCACGGAGAGAGAGCAGCGGTGAGGCAAAGCGTGGCCACAGGCTGCTCACTCGTGCGGTGGGATCCGGCACATGAGAGAAAAAAAAAAGTTGGAGAAAAAGTTTCGAAGCGATCATATATTAACAGAAGAGAAAAAAAAACAAGTATTTGCAGGTGCCAACAGTGCGCGCAGAGTATCCATCGGGTGTGAATTCTCTAATTAGATCGCTTATTTATTTAACTCTGTGTTCAATCAAAGTTAAAACATTCATGTCGCTGGTTTCTCTCGGTGTCATTAATGTTTCTACAAGACTACGAGGCTCCGCGCTGCGTCTGCTGAAGGAGAGGAGCCCGCGTCCGAGGATACAATGAAGCAGTGTGTCCTTGTCCGAGACAATGCAGCGAGATGCTACGAGGAGACGATGTTTCCCACAAGATCAGGGACGTTTCGCCCGATTGCCCAGCGAGATCAACTAAAGGTTTGTGACACCGGCTCGATATTTTATGTTTCTGTTTTTTTTTTACCTTGCGAAAAATGACTCCCAAGCTCAGAAAGCACATCATGCAGAGCCACCGGCGCAGCTCGTCAACAGTCCTGCAGCCGCTGCGCGTAAAAACGCTATAAATGTTAAATGATGGCAAAGTCTACTCATTTCCCTGTGATGTGGATGTGTCTTCTGATTTCATGTGGGTATTAAACGATGATCGGGTAAACATGGAGGCTGTGCATGTCGTGTAGTCTAATCAATAATTCCTTCTACTACAAATGTGAGTTTCTCATTGAACACATTTTCCAGATTTAATTCTGAATATATGGAAACATCTCATTCTTGCGCACTGGAGATTAATATAGTATGCAGGAGTATTCATTAGTCTGTATTTATAATGGTTCAGTGGGTGGTGGAAATGATACTGAATTGAAAGCCCCCTCCCCCTAAATGACTGCCATAGTATTAGATGGAAAGCACACACACACACTCACACACACACACATACACAGGATGTAACTAGTAAATAGTGTCAAATAGTAGGCTATGACATCCAAACTAAAATCAATCACATGAAAATGCAAAACAGCACCTACATAAATCACAATAGTTGTCAATATGCACCCATAGCAGCTAATTGTACACACTGACACCCTTAGAGGACCAGCAGTGCTTTTCAGGGAGGATTTAGCTCTCAACATCTCCGTTAGATGCTCCTCCAAGGCTCTGAGCGCAGCCATTAATGTAATTTGTAGTGAGATGATAAACAGAGTGATGTGTGTTTCTGCTTGAGCAGATAGTCAGATTTGCCAAACGCTCCAGTGCCTCTTGAATATGTAAAAGTGCTCAGCTCCAAGTGCTTCAGCCTGACAGTTTGACGGCTATGGCGTATTAAGCTCAGATAATTGGGTGATATTTACTCACAGAGCACACAATCACTCCGCAACTACTTGAAAACGGCGTCTTTTTTTTTTTTTTTCTTCCCCCCCTCCTCTTAATGATATGCTTTGTAGAAATTATTCACTCTGTTGACAGGACCAAATGGGATGTGCATGTCTACATTTCTTTTTCAGTAATATGAAAATGCACATGATGATTTATTCAAAATTAAGAGATTAGTTGTACTGACTCGAAATAGTTAACGTATGGGTTGTCTTCCTAAATGATTTGCCTCGTTTCTGAATCCAGTTTGCCTGAATGTCGGTTATACTGCAGGGCACAGTAACACAATGCACATCCGAAACGTCGAAATGTTACAACTATACTGTAATGATTCAAGTTGTGACTTGTCATCTGTGCTGATAAACAACAGTCCACTTCTTCAAAATCCCAATTAAACATCACTTCACTGACAACCTGTTGAAGCTTGTGTCTCAAAGTGACTTCACTGCGTGGGCGAAGATTCGATTCCAACAAATGATGCGCTGATAGTGAGATAAGATGACTTGCAGCAGTGGTGCTTTCCAGATGTGGGTAGATCGACTCACGGTTTCACTTTGATTGTGAGTGGGTGGGAGTTCTCAAGTTCGCTTCGACATGAGTTGGGTGTGTTGAGATCACACAGCAAAAATTAGTTGTGGCCCCACGACTCGGTGGTTTGCTAAAAAAAAAAAAAAGACACTCTTCCTGTTGTTGCTGTATGTTCAACCACAGTCCTACTGCTGTCTTTGTCTGTGTCTCTGCTAAATGAGACACACAAAACACAACACAAAAGCTGCTGTACGAACGGCGGAGCATTCCTGAGGTTTCAAGTCAGTACAACTGCAACCGCATGTTATCTTAACAACAAAAAAAATGCTGTCTAAATTTGTGTCTGTCTCAAAGAAGCAAGAGTAAAAACTAATTGCTACATTTCCTCTTGACATCCTCTTTGCATACTCTGCTTTTACTGTTTGTCCTAATGAGTACTTTTTTTCATTGCAGAATGAAGCCTTAGCCTCTGCATACCAGGCTTTGACCAACACACTGACTAGACTGTAGATGTCCAGTTACAAAGCCAGGACTCAAGAATGAAGACCAAATATGCAATCCTCTTCATCTGCATCGTGGCCCTGGTCATCATTGAAAAGGAAAGCAACATCCTGTCAAGGTAAGACAACAAAGACGATTCTGCAACTAGGTTTTGCTTAAGAAGGTGTGGCAAATTTGCATTTTATTTGGTCTGGCTTGTCTGAGTTTCAATCTGACAGAAAGCACATTTGAATGACTGACTTGGCAACATCCTTACAAAAGTGATGAAACAATTATTGTTTTTAAATTGTGAAACTGGGCATGCAGATGTTAGAAATGTTGTTGACCTTGTACGTTTTTTTGAAACTTTCACCTTAAAAAAACACCCTTAACTTGAGTCAGTAACACCTCTGCAAGTGTAAAGCCAGAATGGGCATTCTTGGGTTTAATGAATCAGTGACACTTGGGAGAATTTTAGCACAATAAGTCTCCTTCTACTCAGGCGAGATGACAGTTTGAAAAAGTTGAGCAAAAACTGGCACTTTCACTTTCACCTAATCAAAACTGTAAATTAGGCCCAAACAGGATCCTTATGACAATGAGGTTTTTAACGCTGCTGTTATTGAACCTGTTCTAGAAGTTCTCAATTGCAACTCCACCAAATTTGATGCAACAGAAAAGAAGCACAACAAATTCTACGTCCGTTGTAGTGACAGTAGCACCAGGAGGCCTCTTCGCACAATATGTCACACCTGCCAAGCTTCTAAAAATGACAGCAGGTTACGTTATTACACAAACAGACATGGCCTGATCCCTATACAGGTTCTTTCAGGTATGAGGTTCTAAGATGATAAGATGTGATAACTCACTTCCTTGGAAGAGTTAGATAAGAAAAAATGGAAATGGAGCTTTGTGTTGACCAAAGATAGAAAATCTACCATCCATCACGTTTCCATCTCTGCATGCAAGCTTACGTTACCTACTGAATAAACTATAACAATGATGTCACACCTAAAGTGGCACAATCTGTCTCCACTGCTAATCTTTTAAAGCTACACATGTGTACCAAAGAAACACGATAACCTTTTGACACCTAAGATTTAGGTGTGAGTAATCTCGCAGAGAGAACTTCAAGCTTTCTTTATAACAGAGTTTTCCCCCCCAAGGTAAAATGTTATGTCAAAGACTATTTCTGGTATTTATCAAAAACTTTCCACCTTAACAGCAGATGCTGCATTATGCACCGAGGCCATACAGACTCTGCATACCGGCATGCCACGAAACAAGGTTTAGAGACTGTTGGATATTAAGCACCAGAGAAGCTTGAAAACCCTGCAGAGGTTTTGTAATCAGTTTAGGATCATTTGTGCCTAAAAATAATGATTTTATCTACATCCATCCATCCATTATCTATACACCACTTAATCCTCACTATAGGGTCACGGGGGGGCTGGAGTCTATCCCAGCTGACTGAGGGTGAAGGCAGGGGACACCCTGGACAGGTCACCAGTCTGTCACAGGGCTTATAGACAGACAACCAAGCACACTCACATTCACACCTACGGATAATTTAGAATCACCAATTAACCTCAACATGTTTTTGGACTTTGTGGGAAGAAGCTGGAGAACCCAGAGAGAACCCACGCAGCACGGGGAGAACATGCAAACTCCACGCGGAAAGATCCCAAGCATTCTAACCGGGATGCGAACCCTCTCGCTTTGAGGCAACAGTGCTAACTATCAAGCAGCTGTGTGGCCCTACTTTATCTACAGTAAAAAAAAAAGAAAAAAGAAAAAGAGACAGGCATAGGGATAAAGATAACATCAGGAACACTTTTTATGGGACCACACAAATTTAGATCTTTTCCTTTTCTTGATGATGTTTTCATAGGTTGGCAGGAAGACAGCCCCTTTATTTCCTAGCCTAGTTTAGTTTCTTGTCAAATATGCAGTGAATTACAGCATTAACACAATTTAATATCTTGACATCAGTTGTATCAACCGTAGAAGATTGACTTTCAGTTTGTGAACAGAATCTACAGATTGCAATGCAGTTTCCATCCTCCTTCTTAAAAAGTTAATCAAAGGGATTTTGTGTTGGTAATGAACAACATGAAAACTATTTTTTGAAGCCGAAGAAATTTACAGAAAAAGACAAGACTCCAGAGAACTATCTTACCAACCAAACCAGCATCAGAAGCAGATCGTCCCTGCTATGCTGCATCATTTATACCCCCTAAATCGGTAATAATAATATTTTGCTAAATGATCCACAAGTAACATGTTTAAACAGCCAAACCAGTGGTTACCTTTATGAGAAGCAGCAATATAAAGGACAGAGTTTCCAAAGCTGTTCCACATACTTGCAGTAAATTTAACTGTGTCACAGGCAGCAGGCCAACTGGGAACTTGGAAATGATGGCAAACTTACCAGAAATGCAAAAGATTTATTAAGTGACAGGTCAAAAATGAAAACAGAAATAGCTTCATCGTTTGCAAAACAAAAAAAAGGGATGCACACGATGATCTGTGCATGCAATTAAGTGTATACTGGTGAAACAGAGTACTCATTAAAAGACAGGACGACTCAAGCAGCACCGAAAGAGGAGAGCCACATGTTTTTAATTCACTGGTGATTTTTTTTGTCTTAGGAAGCAAAACAAGATGTTCTAGATTTACAGTCTTAGAAGCTTACATTCAGGTGAAATAAATGTAGATAGATTCTAGCAGTTATTTAGGAGGAGGCAATTTTCTGACTTAAATACATTTTGTGTTTTTTATTGTTTTGTGCTCGTTTCACATTTTTTGGGATTGTGATGTGTTTTTGGCTTTTTATATCATTATTACTAATATTATTTTTCAAATTTTGGGTGGCTGTGTTTTTTGGAAGCTGGCCTTCCACTGGCTGTCACTGGAGAACTGATCAGGATTTAGGCTTCCTGTCAACTCAGTATAGGCTGTTTTTTTTCACACCTTCAGTAAATCACCCTGGTGATTACACTTTGTGAATGCATTGGTGAAATAATATTTTTTTCCCCCCACAGCTGTAACTCAGACATGCAGTAGCTTACACATGTCAGATAAATGCAAAATGTCAGATGTAAGATTCATCTTGGGTGTTTGTACTCTTTCGTCTGTTGCTACTTGATATTTTTTAATCAAGTCTCTGTTTCCCATCAGGGTCTCTGATAAGCTGATCCAGAGGCAGATTCCACAGCAGACCCCACAGACCCCTCTGGATTACAGCAACATGACACAAAAGGGCTCCTTGATGATGCTCAAAATGCTGCTTTCCAAACTCTCTGGTATAAAAGGGAATTATTCCAATTTCTCTGAGGAGCAAGAGGAGGAAGAACTGGACGATTTAGGCAAGTACAGCTACAGCGCCGGCCGTAAGCACATATTACTCATGGCCACCACACGGACGGGCTCGTCGTTTGTGGGGGAATTTTTCAACCAGCACGGGGAGAAAATGTTCTACCTGTTCGAGCCCTTGTGGCACGTGGAGCGCATGCTGACCACCACCGCCGAGACAAACAATGGGACAGTGTTGGCAGGAATCTACCGGGACGTGCTCCAGGGGCTTTTCCTCTGTGATTTCTCCCCACTTGAGAAGTTCATCTCTCCCCCACCTCAGGACCACGTCACTCCGGCTCTTTTCCGCAGAGAGTCAAGTTTATCGCTCTGTGAAGAAAATGTCTGCACTCCTGTGATCAAGGATGTTTTTGAGAGGTATTGTATAATCATCTAGATGCTCACTGATACGGATTAATCTTGATTTTGAATCTGAAAAAGACATTGAAATTCAGCCTATGCAGCTGCAAAGAGGGAGGAAGGGTTCTGGCACTGAGAGTTTTAATGATATCCCTGTTTTTAATCAATACGGAAATCAGAGAAGAGTTTGTAGACCAAATTTTTAATCCATTTATTCAGAAATATTAGGATTAATCAATAATCAGAATAATGAATTACTTGAAGCAGCATAAGCTATAGAATTTTAAACTTGATGATTGGATGTTTCTTGCTGAAATGATTAAAATTGCAGTTGACTTCATCTCTTAAAGGGTTAGTTCAGATGTTTGAGAGTTGGGTTGTTTGAAGTACTTATCCACAGTGTACCACCTACTGTAGGAGGCACACCCACAGTTTTGGAGGAGCAGATGGGAATACTGGCATGAAAGCAAAGTAGTGTACAGCTGTGGCCAAACAAACTAGCTGGACAGCTCCAGGCCTCGTTTTCACAAAACAAACTTTCCGATTGAAGCAGCAGTAGACCAGCAACTCCCATGTTCTGCAGGGTAACGTTACAATATCAGAGGAGTCTGGTGGCCTTGAAGCAACATGTATAACTGCTTGATTTCCCTGTAAGGTAAAGCAGTGAGAATATTATAGTTTAAACCAATATATTTTTTTCTAGTTGGGGGGTTTGTTTGGTGGCTAAAATACATTTTGCTGCTTCACCCGTCTACAGCAGATTGTTTATTAATTTCTGTGCTGGGACTCCTGTCTGTTTCTCCAAAATGAGGGTTTGCAGACTGCCATTCATTGCAGGTAATATACCAAATATACCTCATCCAACCCTGTTTCAAAAAATCAGGACTAACCCTTTAAGCTTTTATTTCTACAATCGTGCACTTCTGACCTTATTTCAACTCCGGCATTTTATTACTTTTCAGACTAATAAGTCTACCAATCATTTTATATTCCTAACACTTCGAAAAATGTTTACTTCTGGAACCCAAGATACCTCAAGTAACCCACTTTGCAATTGTCTAAACTTTATCATCTTGTCCTAGGTATCACTGTAAGACTCGTCGCTGTGGGCCACTGAACTTGACCCTTGCATCTGAATCCTGCCTTTCTAAACAACACCACGCTATCAAAACCGTCCGTGTCCATCAGCTGGACACGCTGCAGCCTTTGGTGGAGGACCCTCGTTTGGATATCAGAGTTATCCAGCTTGTTCGCGATCCACGAGCTATATTAGCATCACGCATGGTGGCTTTCTCTTCGAAATATCAGACTTGGAAGGCCTGGGCGCAGGACGGTCAGGTGCCCGAAGATGACGAGGACGTGAAGAGGCTCAAAGGAAACTGTGACCACCTTCGAATGTCTGCAGAGGTGGGACTGAGTCAGCCTCGCTGGCTGCGGCGTCGCTACATGTTGGTACGTTACGAGGACATCGCCCGCTACCCCATGCAGAAAGCAGAGGAGATGTACAAGTTCACAGGGATACCGTTTAGTTCCCAAGCTAGGGAGTGGATTCTGAGGAACACCCAGACCACACAGGAAGCCAGCGGGATTTACTCCACCCAGAAGAACTCATCAGAGCAGGCAGAGAAATGGAGATTTAGTATTCCCTTTACACTGGCTCAGGTAGTACAGAGAGTTTGTGGACCCACCATGAAGCTGTTTGGGTACAGATTTGTGAATGATGAAAAAACATTGATCAATAAGTCTATCAGTTTGCTTGAGGATAAACTATTTTATTAATCAAGAGATCAAAATTTAGCTGTGAATCTGCAAAAACACTGCATGCAATGGATCCGAGCCAGGAGAAGCCATTATTGCACAGACCAAAAACTCTTTCAACAGGAATGCCATGAAAGACACAAAATGTTGTACCGGTGGCGGGAACATTCATGTAGAGTCACGTACAGTCATGTTCATACTCGCCAATGATGTGCCTCATTGTAACAATGACGAGCCATTTGATAAAGAGAAGTATTTATTTGCGTACTGTGTTCACTGCGAAGCCTGGTACTTAAGCTTTATGTCATGCTCTGTATTTCATTTAAAATGAAATATGCATAGATGTGAAGCCCGACTGTAAGAGATTATTATGTAAGATTTTATTAGTAGATGGTCGTGTTTGGATTTTCAGGGATAAACTGTGATGAAAGTGATGTGTGTATGTTGTGTACGTGAGCATGTGTGTGAAGAAGAGGACATTTCGGTTCATAGGGTTTCTGACACTAGTGCTTAATAATGCCTAGTAGAACCTGTTTCGTATTTTGATAGAGCTGCTTAAGATTATTCAACTGCTAGAACTGCTTTAGATTAGACCTGACGTGCTTTGATAGGATTTAACAAATCTGACTCAGGTAAAGTGAATGTGGAATTGCATTTTGTGGTGTCTTTATGAGGAGCGTTCATATCTTTCCAACAGTGTGCTGTGTGAAAATACAGTTTAATGTTTGGTGTTTTCAACCAAATGCCATTCAAAGCAATGATCTTGTGATGTAGTTCATGTGGCACCAGAGTTTAAAACTTCAAATGGTTAATGAAAAGGAATATATAATGCTTGTGAAGTTATAGGAAATGGTGTCACACTGTAAAAGAAGTACAACATACCTCAGGTGTGTCTTCAGAATTCAAGTGTTGCTATTCCTAGTAGCCTTAGTCATTGTAATGTTTTTCCCCTGTAAGTAAACAGGCAGTTTTGGTTTCATTTTACAAATCTGCTCGGCAGGCAGCTTAAGCCGGAGCTGATCTACGTGTCAGACAAGTGTGTTTTTTGGACTCGAGTATAACAAGTAATTTTTAATCACCTCAAAACTTAAAGTAACAGAATCACCAGGAATATTAAGACTTTCAAAATCCCCCCTTTAATGATATAAGTTGTGTGTTTTGGTGACAGCTAATATATATGTTGTATGTATGCATATGGCTTATACCTTTAAGCGAAACCCAGGTGGTGCTGCATTAACTGTCAGTCTTGATGGTATATAAAGGAAACCACTGTGACTCTAGTTCAATGGCAGCATTGTGTTCAGCTTGGCTGAGGCCCTGCTGAAACGGCCGTGCTGCTCCTGGAAAGGGATATGCATTAGAGATACATATAGTAGAGGGCTTATACTACCTTCTCTTTGAAAATATACATATGAATACATATATAAGGTATTGAGTTGTTCAGACTCACCACTTAAGCCAAAAGGAATTACTGTGAAACACCAACTTTGTAGCTCAAACTACGGTATAGTCACAGTAACTAATTTAAATAACTCAGATATTCAGTGTGGCAATAATCTGTTTGGGAGCGATGCAGGTTTGCAGTTATTCCTCTGTAGATGTTTGACTAGTTCAACTTTCATAGAGAACTGATGATGTTGTCAACGTACATTCATCGCTTCCATCCTGGAAAAAAAGATTAAAAGAACAGCAAAAAAGCAGTTTTAAAGTTTTAGGTTGAAGTCAAGCTCAGGTTTTGCCAAAGCTAGTCTCAGTTCAAGTCTCTGTTTTTGAAGCCCAAATATAGTTATAACTCCTCACAGGCTAATCTTTAGGTCTCCGAATACTGAATATTGAAATGTTATGAACATTAAAATTATTTGAACATTTTTCTTCCACGACTCCTTAAATAGTGCTTTTTTCATAACTGAGACTAAATCATTTGAATAGATGCGCCTAATAACTAAACAGTCTACCTGTGAGTAAGTCTGAATGTTACCAGACATGAAACTTTCATATTTTGCTTTCAAATCACAATCCAAGTCACGCGTTGTGGGAGTCAGGTATCAAGCTCTCAGTGTTTGACTTAAAGCTTACTCAAGTCCGCAGCTTTAACCAGTGGAAATTATCCGCTTTCCATCTACACTTCATGCTCAGTATCGTCACGTTGGTCACATAAGCGCAGCACTTTTGTGTCGAGTCATCACTATCTTCAAAATTCTGCCGAATGTGCTGTATTTAGTCACATTTTAGGGAAAATACTGCATGAGCGGTTTGACTTCAGTGATGCTTTGCCGTTTTATGAAAACTTGACATGACATTGAAGCCGACTGTAATGTTATTCTATGTGGAAATGTGCTCTTAAAAGTTCTGACACTCGCCTTTAAGACTACGGAGGGTGAATGTCTGATACAGAAGGAGATTTTAGGTAGAGTATGACATTAAAGTTGTAAGTCATTGAAGCAGTGGGTAATGGAAACATGTCTTGTTAAAGTTATTAATGTCTTCTGTGACTTTTTTGCCTTTGTTTAATACCTGTAGTAATATTAAACTTGTTTTACTGCCACATTCAGGTTATTCTTGCAGGAGAAACCAACGGCCTATGTGCAGATCATGCTGATGCAACTAGAGATATATCTGAGAGATGTAAATGTTATTTTCTTCTGTTGAAATTATCATTAAATTGATTCTTCTGGTGCGAAATTGTGCTTTGAAGCTACAAATATTTTCTTAGAGGTCTGAATGCTTCTATCAAACATAACACGACACTATTGGTTGTTTGCCATCTTACTTGTAGCATGATACACCTTCAAGTTTTTTCCCAGCAGTATTAAAATTCCATCAACTGTCCAAGAAAGGAACTGAGCCAGGAAGTAAAGGAGAAACTGTTTTTTGTTTGTTTGGTTTGTGCATGAACGCAAACTTGTGTTAAAAGTATTCTTTTTGCGTTGTGAACTAAATATGTGTAAAATCATCCATAGTGGGGTAACCTGTACCATATACATTTTATTTTAAATGCAAAGCTTTTTTTTAAAGCCTAAAACTGTTGGCAGTCCGCCATCAGCGAGTGCACAGATCGCTACTGAGACAAAGGAAGTGTTTGAAATTCTTTGTACTCCTGGATCTCTGCATTTCTGTAGACTTTTGAAGATGGTATAAAATAACAAGTAACTCCAAATAAACCAGCACATATAGTCATTACTTTGAGATTCCTGAGAATGACATGGATAAAATGGGGATTAATGGAGACCTGTTTACTTAGTTGCATTCTCTCAGTTTGGCTTCACATCCAAATGCATGCTGTTGCCAAGGATCCCCAAAAGGCTGAGTGTGAATAAGGCAGAAACAGGGAGCCCATTCAGGGCCGCATTCTTTTCACATCCCAGCTAAAAGAAAGCACTTTAGAGTCCACAGCTGTTGGTCAAGCTGATTTTCTCCCATATCATTTCCACGATGTTGCTTCCACAGCAGCTCAGCAGATGTTTCTGTCCTTCAAGCCCTCTGTCTTCTGCAGCAGGACCAAGCACCCTGCCACACTGCAAAAATCGCTCGACAACCCAATGCGGTGACCTGGCCTCCAAATTCCCCAGATCCCAACCTGATCGAGCATCTATTGGATGTGCTGAAACAAGTCACCATGGAACCTACAGAACCCAAAGGATCTGCTGCCAACATCCTGGCATTCCCACCTTGGGGGTCAGTGTCTCTAATGCTCCTGATACTAGAACCACCGTCTCTTGCTTCTTCTTTCTGATGTTACTGTCAAGACACAACAATTCCTCAAATGCAAAGAGGGTTTCACTAAAAATCCAGCACCCTGAGACTCTGTGAAAAACAAACAAGGGGGCAGGGGCCAAGGATTAATGAGTGTCAGAGCCACTATTCACAGTGACACAAGGAGCATCCGTGAATACATCATGAAGATGCCCCCCCCAGGATGAAATGTGAAGAGAGTGTCTCAGGCAGCACAAGACAGAGGGGGATGAAGGGGAAAAGAGAATATCGTGGAAGATCAAGCCCCTTTGTGAGATGTATACTTGACAGAGGAGGTGGCTGACATTCTGATAGCTAGAAAAGGCCAATCTGAAGGACAGCATGTAGGCTCTGATCATGGCAGCATAAGATGTATCTAAGACAGGCCAGCTATAGGGATTGAAATGTAAGCTGTACCTTTAAAAAACATAAAGTGTTGGAGATAGTGTACAGGAACATCTGTCGAGTATGGGTTAGGAGTCCCAAGTCCCAATGGGACACACCACTGAAAGCGGTTGAGAATAGCAAAGCAAACATCCTGTGGGACTTCAGGTTCCAGACTGACAAGCAGCTGCTGCTGAACCAACCTGACATAGTGGAGGTCGACAAACAGCAGAAGAGGGCAATTGTGACAGATGTGGCAATCCAAGCTGATGGCAACATCAGGAAGAAGTAGCATTAGTAGATCAAGGAGTACCAGTGGCTAAAGGAACAACTGGAACAGATGTGGAAAGTGACGTCCACAGTAATTTCAGTGGTAATAAGAGCCTTCAGGGCAATGAGCCCCAAACTGGGAGTGAGGCTCCAACAGATTTCAGGTAGAACATCCACAGTCTCTGTCTAGGGAAGTGCAGTCGTAAGTTACTGCACAGAGCCCACAAACTCCAAGGCCTCTGGTAGAGGACCTGGGCCTCAGGATATACACCACCTTTCATGTGACAGTAAAAAGACTTTTTAACCATGTATAATTGTATATAGATACACACACATACACTGATATTTTCTTCCCTGAATCTTTCCACATCAGCTCTGATTTGATTTCTCACACTGAATCTGAATGATCAGCGCGGTGCAATGCCACATAACATGTTGGATAATCACTTCAAATTCCTGTCTGGACACTGTCCTGTTTGTCAAAATGAGTTATTCATTTCATTACATGTCCTGAGGGATTTTTTGATAAATAACACAGAAAAAGAACTGATTGGAAAACTGAACATCATGGTACAGCCTTAATTTAAAAACTCCATAGGTATGATACATTCATATGATATATCTCTGATCTTTAAACTGAAGTGCTGTATGTTTCAATGGCAACATTTTTGTTTTTATCTGTAGGATTACTGCTTGGAATGATAGTTTTTAGAACAACAATGGTTAATAGGGAGGAGCCCCTCCTCTATATTGACTCTGTTTCTGTGTATGTAGATTGCCATGAGCACTGTGTTGTTTAAATGATTTGTGTTATACTCATATGTCATTAAGACACTGTGTATTTTCTTTGCTGAAGTGGGAAGAAGAGC